GTTCTTTCCAATTTGTTAAAGTCATGTCCTTGGGATGAATTGCAGGTAACTAGGTGTTAACTTTGTAATGTAGACCTATGTGGTTATAGAGGTCAACATGTTTTGGACTAGAATAACTAACAAAGTTACCTCTCCTTTACTAAGATACCCCCGCCGCATCAAATCTGCAGCACAACAAAATTTCCATTTACCTGTTGGATTATTTCTTTATTTCTTTAGAAACGTATCAGATTTATATTTAAATATACCCCCGCCGCAGCAAACCTGCAGACTAAGCGAATTTCCATATGTCTGATTGGATTTACACTAAAATGTCTACTTAAAAATTTAACATTTATTTCCTTTTTAAATAGAATTATTTTAACAGGTACTTAGGTTTGCTGCATCAGGGAGGGTAAAACTTTTTTTTGTAAAATGTTAATAGTTAGTAAGAAATAAAAACATTTTCGAAATTTGATCAAAATATGTTCATAAACAAGCAAACTACAACAGTTTACTCATTCTCCATAAGAATAACATGGGAATTTAAAATTTACATTTTTTTTTTAAATTTTCTCCGTAACCATTAGGCGCATAGTAACACTTCAATATACTAAATTATTTGTTTTTTTAAGCTCTACAAAATGGTTTGAAAAGATTTTGCAAAATTTTATTTTTTTTGGGTCAAAAATGGGAAAAACCTATTTTTACCCCATAAAACCCCCCATAAACCCCCGTTCCCATAGTCCGATCATGCTGGTTCGCGAACTCGTTCGAGTTTATCCCGCCTTACACCTTCAAACCAAATTTTATCAAAATCGGACAAAAATTACTCAAGTTATCGTGCGGATGGACACACACATATATATATATATATATATATATATATATATATATATATCTATATATAGATATATAAAAATTTGAACGAATGGTGTTTTTGGCCTATGGGGACATCAAAATGAAAAAGTAAATGGGTCCCGGGCCTAGGTCTTACCATGAGACCTACGGTAATAGCTACTTCCCTATAGGGAAATTCGCTAAAAATCAGGTTAAACGAGTACTTGAGTTTGCTCCTACAGTTAAATTCTACAGAGTAATAAAGTGTCTAATTAAATCTGTGTGTGATCAAAATATATCCGCAAACAATCAAACTAAAACAGTTTAATTATTCTCCATAAGTAAAACATGGTAATTTTAAATTACCTGATTTTTCAATCACCAATAATTAATCTCTTCTGTGAAGCCTTATTACCACTCATTATTTCCCGGTTATTAATAACGAATTCATCATTGTGATTCTAATTTTACTACGCAAAATCTATATAACATTTATCTAACATAAATAGGAACCCAGCCCCTTTATATTATTGGGTTAAATTTGAACTAAATATGTAGGAGTAAAACAACTGAATTTTGTACTGACACTCTTGAAAGCATTATATTTTGTGTATTTTAAAACTCATAAATAATTAATTATGTGGCTAAATGTAAACCAACATATAGCCGTTAAAAAAATTATACAACAAAATATATCTTTATTTTGGTAAAAAAAAAAAAATATTTTAAACTAAGATCATTTTTAGAACACAATTATAATCTAGAATGCCTAGTATATATTGTTTTGCGTTAGTATTCATCTCCCAACGTTTTATCGACAATCGTTGACTAAACTAAAATGGCACACTCCATTAATTTACTGATAAGCAGGCTGTCAGTGTGTTGACTGTCGGACACCATATACGGTTGATTTGATTGATCATCTATATGCGGGTGAAGAGACATGTAGGCCTTGCAATGTTTGTCATTGTATTAATTCAATAAATTAAAATATACTAACCCTATCACTCAAGAGGGAAATCTATAAAAAATAATAGGGTGCGAGCCTTTATGTTAGAGTCTATATATGCCAAACAATTGATTTTCAAACAGTTAAACATATTAAAACTCATGGAGGTAAATAAAACACTTAAATGGAATTAAACATTTGGAAAAAGATACATGAGTCAGATTTTGTCTCGAAAAGGGAAAAGCATCATGCTTGAATTATTTTTATCCCTTACTTAATCCTTTAGGATCTCGAAAAACTAAAATCATATAAAATAAAATATTTTTTTCAAGACGATAAGCTAATACTTTGAACAATGACCAGCAAGCGGAAAGAGAATAACTTAGTAGAATAAAATTAATAAAGTGTGTTACTGTAGAAACATTATTTATCTTTTATTTGTAGATGCTGTTATGCAGTGTATTGAAAGTTGATACAGTTTATGATAAGTAGCTCCCTTGACTATTAATACAACTTCAGTATCCAATAGTCAATGGTAGCGCATTAAATTTGACACAGTTAAAAGGTTGGTGTATGAACGATAAAAGAGTACTTTGCAGCACTTGCAAGTAAATTTAGCTCAATGATTATTTACTAAGGGGCTAGCAACAACTGTGAGTGGGAATGAAATCTGTGGTTCATGGTGGTGTATAATTCAACTGGTGAAAAGTGTAATTTAAGAGTATTCGCAGTTTTATCAGCAATCGAGTGTATTTTGAAAAGTTCAGAGAATTTACTCTAAGTTGAAATTGGTAAAAAATAAAGTTCGTGTAAAAATCTCGTGTAAAATCTTCTCGTGGTAAAAATAAAGTTCAATATGAAAATTAGATCAACTAGCTATTACCCACGGGGCTTCAACCCCTTTCACTTCATAAGTATTAATAAAACTATTGATTTATTAAAAGATAAGGTGAAATAAACAAAACTGAATACAGTAATACAAAACAATAATCACACTTAATAACGTAATACATTTGGAAGAATAACAAATCGATTAGTACAGCTGAGGTATTTTTAACATTAGGTATATGGAAAGTTCCCTTTAGAAAGGAATTACGACCTTAAAGGGCAATTTATGGAATAATGGATAGTTTTGCGCAAGGTTTCTCGTCATGACGAACATTTATGGTTAATGGGGGTGTGACTTTTAATTTTCTCAAAAGTTCAAGGATACTTTAGGATTTATATATCAATAGGTCACAATGCAATATACGCTTTAATACAAAAATAAATGTTACATTTTGGACGAGTATTGATAAAAGATTAATTATCGTAAGTTATTTTTTACAATACTATGTTGCAAGAACCAAGATTGAATTTCGAGCAGATCATGCCAATAGTAGCGGCACATTTCAAAAAATTTCTAAAACTGTTCCGTTACAAAATAGTGTATTGATTATGGCTAGTGTGCTAAATGCGGCGCAGACAGGCAAAATACAAGCTGTACCTAGTTTGCTCACTGTCTTTCGAAGGCACTCCTAGACACGGGCCCGGACCAGCAGATTTTAGTTTCGACTGGTCGATTTTAATAAGTTACCAAATATATAAATGGCAGGCTTTCATTCATGAAAACCAATGTTTGACAATACTGTACAACTAAACAAAATTTCGTCTTACCGATTTTATTTTGATCAATGTTAGGGGCGATTTGTTATATACAGCTTCTTTTCTAGTGGACATCATTAAATGTTATTATAGTCACGTTCATTACAAGCTATTTACTTATTCTACGCTACACATCCTTAGATTTAAAGTTGTTAAGCAAAGTACCAGGGGACTAATCTTTGCTTAGAGGCGGTTTGTGGGGTTTAAGAAGTAAACTATAGATTAAAGGAGTTCACTACTCCTGTGTCTACTCCTTTTATCTATGGTAAAACTTAAAACATTAACATTAGTTTTATAGTTTACGAAAGGTGTTTTTTTAATTATTATAAACGATAAATGTACCGTTTTATTTTAACAATAGGTCACCCCATGGTCGAAGTTCGACCAACCATGATTTCCGACTTTATTTAGTGTAGTAATCCTTTCTTCAATATTTTGAAACACTATTGATAAGGCTACGTCAGGTTATAACGGTGAAGGTAAAGGCATATGATGTAAGATAAAAATAAAATAATTTACTCGTATTCACAACGGTACTCTATGTTATTGCATTTTAGTTAAATATTAGTAGGTGTTAAATGTTACAAAAAATAGCCGTATAGGTAGTTAAAGTATTATTCATAAGTGCATATATTTTTTGCACTATGTAGCCTAATAGGTTTTCCCCATTTAATTAAAAGCCATAAACCTTTATCAAATTAAAAAATTACAACTTTGAATTTTGTTTATAAAATCGTTGGTGGTTGTGTAAAATTTTCAAAAACAGACGTAAAGAACTATTATCTCTTTTCCTGTTACTAAGCTCGGTTACAGCAGATAGTTCTATGCAAAACCAACGTGTCATATTGTTTAACCTCTTATGAACAATAAAAATCCATGTTATAGGTGTCTCATTAAAACAAATGGCCATTATTTGAGTTTAGAACACAAAATTACTCGACCCACAACAATTAGTACATGCGAAGTAGGTTAAGTTTAGTGGTTCCAAAAAGTTCCCGAGAAGTTTAATGCTTTTGGCAGATTCTAGGTTTTGCCACTTATGGGTTTTATATGTGACCTTGTGCTTTGAGATAACCAGTGTAAAAAGGCTCTAAAACAATTAACGTTTTGACAGTTTAAGAGTTTTTAAAATTTTTCATTTTAAAATTAGGCATTACAACTAAACCGAGTTAGAAAGGTACTGTAGTAGTACAACTTGAAAATTTTATGATGAAAAAATAATGCCAAAACGCAAAAAGTAGAAATTAGATTTTGAAACAAACTAATAATTATTTCTCTGCTTGTGAACAATTTCAGGGCCAATTGATGGTGACTATTGCTGCTGAAGCTTAATGTAATGTGATTATATTTTAGAAAACAAGTTATGTGCACCTAAAATATTTCAATACTTTTAGATTTATTGTCAGAAACTGGTATTATGTAATAACTTAATAGGTAATTGAAAAATCCTTGTTTAATTTAAGACCAATTACTTGTTTAAAATAACTAAATTAAACTAATATAAATGAAGTATTATTTATTCGTTTGGTTAAAGAAAACTATAATTTATCAGTAAATAAAAAATCAAACCATTTATGAAATCACTTACGACGTTGATGAGTTGAACGAAGGCCAGACCAAATCTCACGTCCACTTTCTGTGTCATGTTTTGTACGGGTCGAATCAGTTTGTTGTAGCCTCGGAACAGGTCCCGCACTAGGCGCTCCTCGTCTTCTGAGCACAACCCTGCAAACAAACAAAGCTATACCACTGTACACCTCGCTTGAGGCTAGAGACTACATGTTCTGTATGGATTGTATAAGTTTGTTGTAGCCTCGGAACAGGTCCCGCACTAGGCGCTCCTCGTCTTCTGAGCACAACCCTGCAAACAAACAAAGCTATACCACTGTACACCTCGCTTGAGGCTAGATACTACATGTTCTGTATGGATTGTATAGGTTTGTTGTAGCCTCGGAACAGGTCCCGCACTAGGCGCTCCTCGTCTTCTGAGCACAACCCTGCAAACAAACAAAGCTATACCACTGTACACCTCGCTTGAGGCTAGATACTACATGTTCTGTATGGATTGTATACGTTTGTTGTAGCCTCGGAACAGGTCCCGCACTAGGCGCTCCTCGTCTTCTGAGCACAACCCTGCAAACAAACAAAGCTATACCACTGTACACCTCGCTTGAGGCTAGAGACTACGTGTTCTGTACGGATTGTATACGTTTGTTGTAGCCTCGGAACAGGTCCCGCACTAGGCGCTCCTCGTCTTCTGAGCACAACCCTGCAAACACAAAGCTATCACTACCTCTGTGGACCTTGGGTGAGGCTACATAATATAAGCTTTGTACGAGTCAAATCAGTTAGTTATGGCCACAAATCAGACTTGAATCAACCCCAATTCTCATTTAATAAGAGGTGCAGGGGAATTAATATTTGTTCTACAATCTTTTTTGCTTATTTCGGCTAATTTACCCTGCTATTTTGAGAGTAGAGAACAATGACTTCGCTGTCCCAAAAACAAATGAAATATGACAATTCAAGAAAGGTAGCCTATATTTTAGCATAGTGGTATTATGTCAGCAGTGATGTTGGAAACGGTAGAGACTATCTAACTCCCAAAATAATACCACTGAAACCCTAGTATTGTATTACAAAGGTACTATACATAGTTCGTGCAATTGATTTCTCTCAAATGTCCATACTATAACACTAATACTTGTTGAGAGTATGTTGTTGACCTAGTGGTTGCGTTTGTGAAATCTCTGAGAGAAGTCCAATTCCAATAATATCCCTGAAATAGACCATTTATTGAAAGAACGTTTGTGGTTATTCAATTGAACAATTAGCGTAGACACTAAAAATAGGGAAACACACACTTTCGAACAAATTTAGATAATTTCGATCAATAAAACCCTTTTCATACACCTCGAACACATCTCAAAAACAGATTATTCAACTAATTTTCTTAGAAAACGTACAATTATAATTTCATTTTCCCGTTGAAAAACCAATCGACAGGTAATCCAGAACGTAGGATGAAACGTCACAGGTTTCCGATAGTGTTATTGGAATCAATGATAGAATTTCCTGGTGGCCATCACAAGTGGCGTTACACGTTCCAGCAAGGGTCGTCAGCAGAAAATCAGCACAACATCAGCACGGAGCAGCACCGTTACTGTTATTGGCTTTCGTGGTTCAGCATCCCGAGGAATCTGAGAGGTCTCAATGAAAACAAGTCATTATCAATGGAAATTCGCTTTGTCTGCAGGTTTGCTGTGGCGGGGGTATTTAGGTTATGCCTTATGTATGCCTAATGTATGTTAATATTTACATTGTACAATCAATGTTATGGTTGTTGCAAATTGAAACAGTTGACAAACCAATTACAAATCTTTGTTTGCTTACGTCAGCAAAATCCCAAAAAGATAGAGACATAACATTTCTATAGTAAACATTCTTTTTGTTTGGTAAACAATGTAATGGTTAATTTTCGCAAGTGACGAACATATAACGAAAATAGATAATTTCAAAGTTGTGTACCGAAAAAATATATAATAACTAATAATGTAAATAATGTATAATAATGTATATGTAATGTGTATAATGTAGCCCCTTAATAACCAAGCATGTAAAATTATTGACAACTTTAGCTTATTCATAATTAGTTACGGCTAATAATGAATACGCTAAAGTTGTTGTTGAATAAGCTAGGATTGTTAGTTTCAAAAGTGCTTTAGTGTTTTTCAACCTCAAGTTCAATAATCCTTAAGGTTACTTATTGGCACTTATAGTTTTAAAATACACCAATTAGCCAATTCCTATGCAATTATCTCCAAATATATGTTGTTATATACGTATTTTGGCTAACACGGCGCTGATAGGCAAAATGTAAGCTGTACCTATTTTGCTCTCTGCATTTTGGATGCGCTTTTACAACTGGCACCAAAGATTTTATGAATCTTTACGGGAAAGACACCACTAGTAATAATGTTCGATGTCTTGGTCAAAGTAACAATTGAATCTTCATTTCTTAGGTGTTGCCTTTCGGATTACTTAACAAATACTAATCTAGAGGTTAAATAGATTACGTTAACATTTTATGACTACTTAAAATATGAAAAATGTGCCTAAGAGTGTGTAATAAATCGTTGGAAATTTATAATATACACAAACATTTATCATGTGTCTGTTTGATTAAATCGAGGTACCGCCGATGTCATGAGTTTATTTAAATTCGTGTGAATATATTTCCACAGCTTAATTTAATTCAAATACACAAACTAAACATAATAAAAGTACTGCGAGTTTTTAATGTTTACTTAATCGAAACCATACAGCTAAAAATGAAACATAATTACATTTAATTAATAAAAAAACAGCAAGTTTTATTCAAGTCGAATACTTGTTTACAAAGTTGTTTTGTTAATTTAATCAAACACACAGTAAAACAGAGCTAAATCAATTACTTCTCATGTGATACAAGAACTCCTAATTGGTTTAGAACCCGGTGAAGTAGATTCCAAAATTGTCGAAATGCAAGGATAAATTATTTAAAACAACTGTTTAAGTCAGCTTTTCTGACAATGGGTTTGTACATTTTTTGCAACGCTATAATTTCTGTGTTATTATTACATAGAAATAAAATTCGATTCGTTAAAACTCTTACACTCTACATAAAATAGTGTGGATAAAAAACATTAATTTTAACTAGTTCTCTTAGAGAAATATAAAGTTTAAGGATAAATATAACGTTTTATTTTAGTTAGATACTATGGTTGAAAGTTTTTAAGTAGTTTTTCTAGGCATTCATAACTTTTTAACCAATCAAGAGGTTTTTCTCACACAAGTACTTATTAATAGACACTTAATTCACTGTGATCAGAATTAATTGAAAGTTATAATTAAATAATTTATAATTATAAGACTGTAACAAATATCTCCATGCTAGGCGTATTGATAGGCACTATTGATGCATGGCGCTAACCTTTAGTATCCAATAGTCAATGCTAATACTAAAGAGCATCGAAGTATATTCGATGTAGATTTTATTCCTATTGAGGTTACTTCTAGGTCACAATTTGTTGGAGTTTTTTTTGTACTTATACCCATTCATTATCTTTGGTGAGTTAAATAGTTGTAAATATAAAATACATTATTAAAACTAATACTAGTGAACCTGTGCGGCTCAATGCCCCGCAAAATTACATATGAATTTAGAAAACAAATTCATCGTGTTACTTATATATTGGCTCAACGTCAAAAATTAAAAACAGTAATAATAAATCCTTAGAAGAGAAGCAGTCCAACCATTTTCTAGCTGTATGTGTATTTTATTTAGTAAATTAATAAGTGTTCAAGTATGTTATAGGGTAGTTATTTTTAAAGATTTTTAAAAATACACGTAACAAAACTTTTTATCATTTCAAACCAATAGGCCTATGTAGAACCTGCTATGTGGCATATTTTGAGGGTCATAAAGATGTTGCTTGAAGAAAACACAATTGGTCTGGGTAAGAACAGTGCTGATCTTTAATTAAAGTGCTTAAGTTACTTGGCTTGGTGCTTTCATAACTGCAAACTCAAAATACACCCACAAGTAAAAAAGAATCAAGTTATTGGTTGTATAACCTACTTTTGTGTAACAACATTATTCACATGAAGTAGATGATTTGTTTGATTTGTCGATCAGCTGTTTTGTTTCAAATGAATAAATAATGTCAAAGATTTGTGATTTTAAATACATAGATTATTATAGAAAAGTTTTCTAAATCATGGTTACTTAATCTCAACTAATTTTTACTATTCCCAGAATTAAAATAAAGTAGTAAGATCCATTATGAATAAGCATTAAGGTGTACAATACTTAAATTGAAATGTAGTATACATCAACAGTCATAATACACAGAAATTATTATGTAGTATACTTTGACTATGTTCAAGTAACAAACATATGTTTCTGTAAATAAAAATTATCTCCTATGTTATCCTTATGGGGAAATACGAAATTGTAAAGGACTCCAGGGCCTCACTCTCTCATTATTTCCCTAAAAAGAAAGTTTCCTGCACAACTTCACGCTACGCTCTTTCCAATGACACCAAAAACATGACAATCGGTTCAGTAGTTTCGGAGGAGTAATTGTCACAAAAAATCTGCTTGCGTATTAAATAAGTATAGATTACATAATTTTAGCGAGTAAAGTATACATGACATTGCTCTTACATCAAATTAATGATAATGACGTCATGTTTGTATGGATCTTAAAATAAACAATTTCAGTAAATACAAATAAAGGTTAGCACAACATGTATGACGCGTATTGTGTTGAAATGAATAGGAGTGAAGAGGAGAAGTGAACCTTTATTAATGGTTTCGTAGCCAACACAAACTACAGTATATTATTTACAAAATTGCCTTTTGTCAGTTAAAGTTACACACATATTGTCCAATAATAAAGCAATTTTAATAAATACTCTATCCATTGCTGGTTTGACCCAGAGCGGGGTCGGTTCATTATTTCCGAGAGTTTATTTCCACTGTACTGAAAGTTGATTCTATCTAAACTAACATAAGGTTGACAATACGTAACCAGACCAGGGACACTGGACATTCCCTTTCAAAAACGTAAATAATTCCGGAGAAACAGACAAAATAATCTAAAACAACTAACTTTAACTTTAAAATCACGTGCGTCATTAACAACTGTTGTTGAACCTGCATTGAATTCAATGAGAAATTA